CAACAAAGCAGAAGCTCACGTGATCAGTTGTTTAAAGACTGACACTGACTGGTTAAACGAGTGGAATCAGGTGTGCCCTCTGTGGATAAGACTGGACATCCCTGGATTAGAGCTTATAGTGTCCAGTCATCACACTCTCCATATGATGGTAACACATTTCAAACAGGTCATATTTAAATGGCCACATTCAGACCAGCTGTCTGATTCTTCCGTCTCCAACAATTCTTTTAAATCTCTTTTTGTCAGTCTATTTATCCACTCATCTGTCCATCCATCCATCCATCCATCCATTACGTAAACAAGGAAAAGGCTTCAGATCTATGCATCTACCCCTCATCCATCCATCCATCCATCTAGTCATTCATCCACAATGAAAAGGCTGAGATCTATGCATCTATCCCTTCATCCATCCATCTAGTCATTCATCCACAATCAAAAGGCTGAGATCTAGGCATCTATCCCTCTATCCATCCATCCATCCATTATGAAAAAGCTGAGATCTGTGTACCTATCCATCCATTTGTTCATTCATCCACAATGAAAAGACAGATTTATGCATCTATCCTTCCATTCATTCATCCATGCATGCATCTATTATGAAAAAACTGAGATGTGTTTATCTATCCATTTGTTTATTCATCCACAATGAAGACAGATCTATTCATCTATCCTTCCATTCATTCGTCCATGCATCCATCTATTATGTAAAAACTGAGATGTATCTATCTATTCATTTGTTCATTCATCCACAATGAAAAGACTGAGATCTTTGCATCTGCTCCTCCATCCATCCATCCATTATAAAAAACTATGATCTATGTATATATCCATCCATCTAGTCATTCATCTATCTCTCCATCCATCCATCAACTACCAAAAGGCTGAGATCTATCCATCCACCCATCCATCCAGTATGAGAAATCTGAGATCTGCAGTGAGGGGAAAGTATTCAGGCACTTTCACTTCCACTTCATTCATTCATTCATTCATCTCATCCACAATAGGTATGCTGAGATCTATGCATGCATCCATCCATCCATCCATCCATTCATCCATCCATTTCTGCCTCACCTTTAAAGTCATCGTATATGATGCCCTTTAGCCTCATGGGCTGAGGTCCTCCAGACAGCAGAAACTTCAGCAGAGCTTTAGAGATAAAAAGATTTTATTCTTCTTTAACACAGAAAAAGTTGGAGTCTGGTTGGGCGAGGGCTTCACCCAAACACTCCAGCCTTCTTACTAATAAATAAGCACTAGCAGGGAGTCCAACTTCAGGCACGTCAGATCCTTTCAACTGGACACACCACGGCCCTTTCAGGCTGTACTATTCCCTTAACACAGCTCCTTCATCAAGCAGTCAAAGCACGCATACATACAGCAGCAAGGTCGACTACTGCAGGGTACAGAGCCTGAAGTTACAGAGCAGTTAGCAAGCACTGAGGTGAACTACGTTACCCACAATCCTAAAGGTGTTTCCACTATTATCTTTCACAAGTTGCTGCAGTTACTTATGACTAGCACTACTGGCAGCATCTACTGTTTAGCAAATACTACACTACCCACAATGCACTGGCTGCATGTTACCTTTCTTATTCTCGTGATCTTTGTCCTCTATTTTGTCCGCTTTCTTCCATTCTGTTTCAAAGAGGTTCTCTCGCTCCTCTCTTTCAGACAGGATTTCCTTCTCTTCCTCTTTCTCTCGTTCCTTTTTCAAGAGTCTCTCTTTCTCTTCTTCCCTTTCTGAAGATCTACCTTTCCCTTCTTTCTCATGCATTTTTCCACTATGTTTCCCTCCTTCATGGCCTCCTCTCGCTTCCTTTTCATATGATTTCTCAACCTTCTTCTCTTTTTCTGAGGGTCTCTCTCTTCCCTCTTTTTCAGAGGGTCTCTCTCTTCCCTCTTTTTCCGAGGGTCTCTCTGTTCCCTCTTTTTCAGAGGGTCTCTCTCTTCCCTCTTTTTCAGAGCGTCTCTCTCGGTCTTCCTCTCCTTCTGAAAGTCTCTCTTGTGCCTTCATTTCAGAGGTTCTCTCTCTTTCTTCCTCACTTTCAGAAGATCTCTCTCGCTCCTCTTTTTCAGACGATCTCTCTTTTTCTTCTCTTCTTGAAGATCTTTCTTTCCCCTCTCGTTCAGATGATCTCCCTCTTTCTTCCTCTCCTTCTGAAGGTCTTTTTCTCAACTCTCTTTCAGATAATCTCTCTCGTTCTTCCCCACTTTTGGAAGATCTCTCTCGCTCCTCTCTTTCAGATGATCTTTCTCTTTCTTCTTCTCTTTCTCTTTCTGAAGGTCTTTTCTTCCCCTCTCTTTCTTCTTCTCTTTCTCTTTCTTCTTCTCTTTTTCTTTCTGAAGGTCTTTTCTTCCCCCCTCTTTCAGACAATCTCTCTCTTTCTTCTTCTCTTTCTCTTTCGGGAAGTCCTTCTCTTCTCTCACTTTCAGGTGATCTCTCTCTTTCTTCTTCTCTTCTCTCTTTCTGAAGGTATTTTCCTCTCCCCTCTTTCAGATGATCTCTCTCTTTCTTCTTCTCTTTCTCTTTCGGGAAGTCCTTCTCTTCCCTCACTTTCAGGTGATCTCTCTCTTTCTTCTTCTTTCTCTCTTTCTGAAGGTCTTTTCTTCTCCCCTCTTTCAGATGATCTCTCTCTTTCTTCTTCTCTTTCTCTTTCGGGAAGTCCTTTTCTTCCCTCACTTTCAGGTGATCTCTCTCTTTCTTCTTCTCTTTCTCTTTCTGAAGGTCTTTTCCTCTCCTCTCTTTCAGATGATCTCTCTTTTTCTTCCTCTCCTTCTGAAGGTCTTTTTCTCCCCTCTCTTTCTGATGATCTCTCTCTTTCTTCTTCTCTCTCTCTTTCTGAAGGTCTTTTCCTCTCCTCTCTTTCAGATGATCTCTCACTTTCTTCCTCTCCTTCTGAAAGTCTTTTTCTCCCCTCACTTTCTGATGATCTCTCTCTTTCTTCTTCTCTTTCTCTTTCTGAAGGTATTTTCCTCTCCCCTCTTTCAGATGATCTCTCTTTTTCTTCCTCTCCTTCTGAAGGTCTTTTTCTCTCCTCTCTTTCTGATGATCTCTCTCTTTCTTCTTCTCTCTCTCTTTCTGAAGGTCTTTTCCTTCCCTCTCTTTCAGAGGACCTCTCTCTTTCTTCTTCTCTCTCTCTTTCTGAGGGTCTTTCTCTTCCCTCTCTTTCAGGTGATCTCTCTCTTTCTTCTTCTTTTCCTCTTTCTGAAGGTCTTTCTCTTCCTTCTCTTTCTTCTTCTCTTTCTCTTTCTGAAGGCCTTTTCCTTCCCTCTCTTTCAGACGACCTCTCTCTTTCTTCTTCTGTCTCTCTTTCTGAAGGTCTTTCTATCCCTTCTCTTTCAGGTGATCTCTCTCTTTCTTCTTCTTTTCCTCTTTCTGAAGGTCTTTCTCTTCCTTCTCTTTCTCTTTCTGAAGGTCTTTTCCTTCCCTCTCTTTCAGAGGACCTCTCTCTTTCTTCTTCTCTCTCTCTTTCTGAGGGTCTTTCTCTTCCCTCTCTTTCAGGTGATCTCTCTCTTTCTTCTTCTTTTCCTCTTTCCGAAGGTCTTTCTCTTCCTTCTCTTTCTTCTTCTCTTTCTCTTTCTGAAGGTCTTTTCCTTCCCTCTCTTTCAGATGATGTTTCTCTTTTTTCCTCTCCTTCTGAAGGTATTTCTGCCCTCTCTCTTTCAGACAATCTTTTGTGTTCTTCTCTTTCTGAAGTTCCTTTTCTCCCCTCTCTTTCAAACAATGATCTCTCTCTTTCTTTCTCTCCTTCTGAAGGTCTTTTTCTCACCTCTCTTTCAGATAATCTCTCTTCTTCTTCCTCACTTTCTGAAGATCTCTCTCGCTCCTCTCTTTCGGACGATCTCTCTCTTTCTTTTCGTTCTTCTTCTCTTTCTCTTTCTGAAAGTGTTTCTCTCCCCTCTCTTTCAAATGATCTCTCTCTTTCTTCTTCTCTTTTTCCTTCTGAAGATATTTTCCTTCCCTCTCTTTCAGATGATCTCTCTCTTTCTTCTTCTCTATCTGAAGATATTTTCCTTCCCTCTCTTTCTGATGATCTCTCTTTTTCTTCTTCTCTATCTGAAGATATTTTCCTTCCCTCTCTTTCTGATGATCTCTCTCTTTGCTCTTTTCTTTCTGAAGGTGTTTTTCTTCCCTCTGTTTCAAACAATCTCTCTTTTTCTTCCTCTCTTTCTCTCCCCTCTCTTTCAGACAATATCTCTCTTTCTTTCTCTCTTTCAGACGATCTCTCTCTTTCTTCCTCTCTTTCTGAAGGTTTTCCTCTCCCTCGTCTTCCAGATGATATCTTTTCTTCTTCTCTTTCTGTGAGTCTTTCTCCCCCTTCTTTTTCATATGATCCCTCTCTTTCTTTCTGTCTTTCTGGAGGTCTTTCACTCCACTCTCTTTCAGAGGTTCTCTCTCTCTCATCCTCTTCCACATTTTCTGAAGGTGCTTCCCTCTCTTCTCCTACTTCTTCTCTTTTCTCTTCTTCCTCTCCACCTTCATCCTCCTCTTGTGCCCTCCCCTCTTCCTCTGGTGATTTGGATAGTAGTAAAGATCACAGCAGTAAGTTGAGGGGTCCAGGATTAGTCTCAGTCTTATTGCCTCTCCATAAGAATTACTCATTACCATTCACTACCATAATGACAGACTTATAAGAGACCAAAACAAATTTCAACTAAACTCTCAAAACAGCCAAAAATGTAAACATTTCTGTGAAACCAGGCTTGTATACTTATAAACAACTGACCCAGAACACAGGGTCTCCACCTGGTGCACCCTACAGCCAAGATTCAGGTACAAATCCCAGCTGTGCAATGTGCCACTGTAGTCTGGGAGTTGAGTGCTTAGCATTCTCCTCCAAGTGTTGAGGCACTGGACAGCAGTGTCAGGATTCACCATATTTGTCCTGACCACTGCCCTCTCAGATCAGTGGAGATGTGATATGGTGAGAAATGTAATACTCACTAATAAGTAACACTAACTAAGTCTAAAGCAAGAGGGAACAATGGGAAGCTACAAACTAATCCATACCTTCTATCTCTGACTCTTTCTCCTCTCCCTCTCCTTCTTTCTCAGAGAGTTGCTCACCCCTCTCCATTGTGGGCCTGCCAGCTTTAGACACTGGGTTCTCTTCGGGTTCTGAAGAGACAGGTGGACTGTTGGCTGATTGAAATGAGTCATGTGGCATAAGCATCAACTCCAATCCACTTAAATTTGCAACATCTATTGACGACTCTAATATATGTTCGATAACAGAATCAGTATTTTTTGGATTTTTCCCCCACTATTCTCCTCAGTCTAGTCATACCTCATTCCACCCGCTAGTTAGGACTCTCTCAACCACACGATACCACCAGCACTAGGAGGACGAAGGCTAGCACAGGCTTCATCTGAGACCTGTGAAGCGCCACTGCAACTTTTCGAAGTGCACCATTGGACAGCCGAATGCACTTGGAGGAGAACACTAACCACCAGTTCTGTTACGTCAGCTAACAGACACCTGCACTGACTAGCATCGCGTTGAGTGATGGGGGAGAAGCTGGGGCCATCCTACCCACCCAGAGAGAGCGAAGCCAATTGTGCTCTCTTGGACTCCCTGCCTTTGATGGCTGTAGTGTCACCAGGGATTGAACTTGTGATCTCCTGATGTCAGGGGCAATGCTTAGATGGCTGCACCTGGGAGCCCTTTATTATCATTATTAGCAAAGCTTATTCCACACATCAAGTTGAAATTCTGTCCTCTATAGCTTCTCTTCTGATTGACCCCAATTTCCTTAACCGGTTATTTTCAGCATAAAGTTCCTTATGTTGTAACGTCCATCGAAACAGCAAGAAACTGTTCATGTCCAATGATGCCAGTCAAACTGGTCACAATGCAGTTAGTGGAGCCGTCTGGCTGGAAAACTTGAAACTAGTGCTGTTCTGTTGTCCCAAACACAGGCAAGAATGTTACTCAGGAAGGGCCCGGCCCTCTTCAACTTGTTTCATGTATTTAAAGGGGCTCTCTGGCCAAAATGAAATATGTACCATTGCTTCATCTGTTATAAACATCTCCTTACCCTTCCTAAGTGCGGGAAGGTGTTTTAAGCTGGGTACACTGAAATTTTAAGCAGCATATAAGTGATGTGAGCCATGGCAGTCATGCAAAACTAGCTTTTTTTTTGCTAATTTACGCCAAACAGATTGTGTGATAACATGATATAATGAGGTGAGAGATGGCAATACACACATATAACTGACACATCTAACCACCAACACACATCCACTCTCCCATGCTGGACAAACTTTATGCAAATGAACCATGTGGCGACCAAGCAGATTGTTGATCAGTGCGTGCCGATTGTGTCACACACTGAGATTTAAAAACAATATTAGCCTGCTTTAGTGCTCAGAACTGTCTGTGTCTCTGCACACACATTCCCTCTTTGCACTCCACCTGATTTAGTGGCGGACCCCCCACCATAGAGGCCAGCAGTTGGGGAGGGGAACAAATTTGGCTTGTTAACTTATTTGCATTTCTAGTGCAGGTTTTGAAAACATAGACTGTAAACTCCCCTAAAAAGCAAGCACGTGTGAGTGCTTACTATGTTCACGTTATTACAAAGTTCAGAACTTTTTTTATTATTATTATTTTTAGCAGTTGCAGTCCTGAAATCTCCCTCAACACCCTCACTTCCTGCTTTCCTGGGCAAGGGCCTCCTTCTGGCGGTGTAACTTGAAGGTGGGAGAAACTTTTGAATAACTGCTTTGGGGTGGGTTTTTGGGGGTGGGCTGCTTTGAATTGTGCTTATTTTCTGGCGAATGCAGAAGGAAGCAAGGCAGCTAACATTACTGCTAGAAAGCTGAATACTTTATTACAGCCATATAACAAGTAACTGTCTTCAAGTCATCAAGATGGTTTAACTGATTACTCACATAACAGAAATAACATCAAGCTAAAAGCTAAAGTTAGCAAGGTAGCTAGGGGGAAAGACTGAACTGGTACCTTTCTCATCCCTCTCACTCTTTTCCACTTCAACACCCTCTTCTTCTGTTATTCTTTCTTCTGTTTCTTCATATCTCCCAAAAGGCTCCTCCCACTTCCCAGAATCCTCTGATGGAGGCACAGGAGCAGCATAAAGGCAATGGAGAAATGATGACAACGACCACAATGGCACACTCACTCTCGCAGCCTGCTTACTCTCACACACACATTCTCTACACACAGTATCAGACTGACGATATCTGTGAAGGTCATCAGTCGTCCAGGTCATTAAACTGCCCTTTAATATTAAAACTTAGGCTTAAGATTCAGTTATTAATCTTAAAACTTCTTATTCAATTACTACTTAGAATTATTCAGTAAATATTGTGAATTGTAGTAAAAGTATGATTTACTTAGTAACTACTATATATTATTTATACTGTGAATTATTTGGTAAATAAATTATTTGGTAATTACTTTAAATTATTCAGTGGCTGCTTTAACTTTTCTGGTAACTATTCTAAATGATTCAGTAACTACTATAAATTATTCATGAACTACTTTAAATTATTCTTCGGCTATTATGCAACTACTTCTGAAACCACTCTTAATATTTCTGTCACTACTAGGAAATATTCAGTAACGACTAAATTGGTAACTACTGTAAATTATTTGGTAAATACTTTAAATTACCTGGTAACTTCTTTAAATTATTCATTAACTGCTTTAAGTTAGTTATTCCGTGGCTACTAGGAAATATTTAGTAATGATGATTTTTTTGTTAATCACTACAAATTAACTTTAAATTATTCTGTGACTACTATAAATGATTTCTTTACTACTTTAAATTATTCAGTGGCTACTATTAATTATTAAGAAACACATTTTACTATACAACACTTTACTAATAACTAATTACTATACTATACAAACTACAATGCATTATTCAGTAGCTACTACTTATTATTCAATAAACACTACAAATTATTTAGTAACTATTTTAAATTATTCAGGAACTACTATGACTTATTCAGTAACGTCTATGAAACTAATGTGTAAGGTCTGCAGTTATGAGAGTCAGGAATTTAAGCCTGGGCCCAAAACAAAAATGTTGGGCCAACAAGTTACATGACAATGTACTGCTTTTTTGAGTTAACTCATTGGTGAATCATCCATCCATCCATCCATGATCTAAACCACTTATCCTTCTGGGTCGCGGTGGGGTTCTGGAGCCTATCCCAGCTGTCATTGGGCGGAAGGCTCATTGGTGAATCATGTTAACTCGAAAAAGCTTTGAAAGAAGTTTTTAAGTTGACCCAACATTTTTTTTTAACACTGAAGGCCATTTACATGATGATGGTAGACGGAAGAAGATGTATTTTTCAATGGAGCAGCCAAGGAAAGTTCTTCCACCAATGTCAGCGTACGCCAACAGTCAGCAGAAGTTTCTGTCAAAAGCTGATTTTGGATGATGACTTTGTCCTGAAACTCAGGTGCTGAGCGTCTGGACGTACTCATTAATGCACAGCAAAACTCAAACTTGATTCGAAATAGACCATTAAAAAACTTTAGCTTGTGTTGAAAACACTTCCGCTACTGCTATTACAGTAATGCCATCGCTGCATTCTGCTGTCGGCCTTGTACCATCACTTACTGCACCAATTCCGCTTTGAGGCATGGAACAATGTTTTTTTTACAGCAACATGTAAACGTAGCATTAAAGTTTAAGAGGGTACTTCGATGCTACTGGAATTATGGTGTAATATTGAAGATGATTTGCCATTTGGCTTTAAAAGGTCAGAATTAACATCTTCGAGATAACACCACAAGAATTACTAGAAGAGTGACAAGCTGTTCCTCCATATCCCCCCACGAGGCTGGCCTCAGGTGATGAAGCTCTAGAGAACAACTGGCTCTAAAGTTCTGCTAAACTACCACTAAACTACCACTAATCTCACACAGCACACTCATCCCTGTTTCATCCCTCCGTTCACTCATTCACTCCTGCTTTCACGCTTATCGGTACCTTCCTCAGGCCTTCTCTCTTCTCCTGCTGCTGTTGCCTCTTCCTCACTTTCAGCAGGGATCCTGTCCTTTTCTGGGATTTTGGGCCTTTGAGCTGCTCCGTTTCAGTGATGGACATGAGGAAAATGGTCATGAGCAAAATCAGGTGCCATACAAGTGATCACTGAGGGAAAGCACTGGTCAGTTTTTGTGTTTGTGTCCTGATGTACATGTTTATATGGACATAGGAGGAGCAGTCCATATATTAGTCCACATAAACACACACATTTACACACGTATCACAAAGAAGCACTGACCACACCTCCCAGACAGCTAAATCTATTGTTGTAGGACAGAAGTTTCTTTTCCATTTTTGGTGTTTTTTCTATCGTCTCAGACTTGTTTTGGTCTTGACTGTCTGACTTACACTCAGATAACTCAGAACCAAATCTGTGCTTCTGTTTGTGGCCTCTGAACGGCAAGGAATTTGAGACGCTGGTGCCTGATTGTCTTCAGGAAATCCCCAAAATTGTTGGAGTCACATTCTAAACCAAGCATGTTAAACCAGGGACCTTCCGGGCCAAAGGGCTGCGGATATTAGCCTTTACCCTCAGCTGACGCTCAGAATTCAGTTCATGAAGGCCTTGCTAATTAGTTAATGAGTTGGATCAGGTGTGTTTAATGAGGCAGTGAGCTGAAGTCTGCTGAGTTACGTATGTAAATGTAACTCATTACATAACTGTGTAATTATATAATTCATGAAAACATTAAAGTAAAATGAAAATAATAGTTTTGGTCATTCCAGATGAATCTGTAGGGATACAGGTCACTTTTAAAGGATGCCACCAAACAACTGGAAAGAGTTATTTGGACAGGAAGCAGCCGAAAGATTGGCTCTCAATCATTTGGACTTGATCTGGGTTGTGTCCGAAAATGCCTTGCTGCCTGTGCTGGCTCCTAAGTCAGTGCCTTAGATGGCAGTGTCTGATGAAGGCATGTGTATTATATTTGTGTCAGTGCTGGTGTTTTCTGCTTTTTTTCTTAACTGCATTGGCACTGACACAAAGAATTATGGGATATATAAGGCTGCATCTCCACTTCTTTCAAAACACGGGCAAACAGAGGAACCTCAGCAGGCAGTGCTTTTTACAAACATTCATTTGGGACATGACCAAGTGCCTTCCTGCCTCAGAAGACTGAATGAGTGGGCAGTGTTTGTCATGTTTCAGACACAGCCCTAGTCTCGCAGGGCTAGACGTGATCTGGTAACAAGAAGGTCTGGAGACAGCCATGGGAAATTTTGAGGTACTTTGGTGGGTATTTAGACTTATCAGGGTGGGCACAAGCTGAGTGTGAAATTTAGAAACCAATCCAAAGTTCAAAGTAGGGGACGATGGTGCACTCATCAGCATCATCCAATGGACAACAAGCCTGTCATCAGTTCATGGATGGTTAAAAAGTCCCCCAGAAACTCCAACTAAAGCATGTAAATGTGTGCTGCGGGTAAAAACACACAGTTCCGATAGCACCAGCTAGCCTGTTTTGCTTGTGTTACTCTGGACATTGAAAAGCCCAGACTAAAGCAATTTGGGGCGAGTTCTACAGGGGTGAATCCTTGTTTGTGGTGCAATCCAGCACCAAAAGTTTAACAGGTTGGCCCCAGATCTTCTTGGCCTCTTTTCCACTGCAGGGCAGAACAGTTCCGAGCATGGAGGGTAACCGTTCCAGTGGCTTTTCCACATGGACATGGTTCGACACAGAACAACCGGGCTCAGCCCTGTTTTTTTGGCATGGTTAGCTAACTGTACTCAGGGCCACAGAACCGTAGCTGTTCGCTGATTGGTTCTATGTTTATGTCGGTATTGTGCCACAGCTAATTTCAAACCGGACAGCATTTAAATAAATTCAGTTTGCTTAAATAAATGAAAACAGTGCACAATTTTAAATCCACCATTCAATAAACATCAAAGCTTCAAACTAAAAACAATTTCTAAATGTTAAACGGTGCTGCCTAACCAGCTAGAAGAGAGTAGCTGGTCAGCGTTAGCTTAGCTAGCATGCTGCCAGTGCTACTCACCACAGAACAGATTCGATTCTGACTAACAGAAGCTTTACTGACCCAAATTTAGACGATAATGACTCATACCTGAGGAAGCGAAGTCGGGCGGCTGATGTTAGAGAGACAGAAAGCTGAAATTAACCTCCTCTCTGTCGTATCTGAGAGCACAAATTCGAATGACTGGTGTTGAAGTGACAGAAAGATAAAAAATAGAACCGACCGCTGTTTCAGTAACTGATGCTCAAATAACACCTGTTGTGTTGGAGTGACAGGTGGAATCAAATGTGTTTGTGGAGGGTGGTGTGTATGTTGCTAGTAGCCTGTTAGCAGTTAGCCATTCGTTTGTGTAGTTTTCTTGGGTATTTCCTGGTTCTGATTTAGCGGTACAACAGATGGAAACAGAAACCTTAACTGGTCTTGCGAGTCCGGACCAGCGTGGAACGGCCCAGTACAGCCCTGAGAAACATCTGGCTCAATAGTGGAAAAGCAGCCCTTGTTATGAGATCACACCCAGCCCCGTGAGACAAGACTCGATCTTGATTTGGTCTCAGCGCCGTTTAAACTTGGTCTTGACTCAATATCAATTCAGAGCCACCTTATTCTTGACCTTTGGGTTAAGGTGAAGGTGGGGTTGGGGGGGTAGCCAACAGTATTTTTCAGAGATCCAGCCACATCTTCATACATGCCTGCATTACACTCCATATCTGTTGTGTCAGGTTCTTATTCTATGCTACGTCCAAAATAAATCCTTATTTTTTAACCCCTTAAAATCTCAGGCTTATTACACACAAAGGCTAATTATTCAGTAACTACAGGGACTTCAATGCAAATTGGCTGAGCTATTCTTAGGTTATAGAAGTGTGTAATAAAGCTTTGGGCCTGCTGGCAGGCCCTGGCCATTTAAGGGGTTAATCAATCTTAGCACATTTTTAGATTTCAGATGAACCATGAGCACCTCTGAAGGCCTATCACTGCCACAGAGCCCACCAGATATTCTCCAACTCCTATCGATGTTACAATAACAGCTTCTTCCCCTGTCAGCCGCAGCATTTGCCAACTCAGCGAAAGCAAGTAAACCTTTTCTTTTCCTTTTTTCTCGCTTGCTCTTTCAGCGTCTCTCTCTCTTTTGATCGCATATCCTTTTGATCATCTTTCAGGCCTTTTTTTCCCTCCCAGAATGCTTCATGTTAGGTTTTGGGGCTGCTGGAGGGCCGTTCCAGATTACAAACTATAGATTCTCTCTCTCTCTCTCTCTCTCTCTGGCTCGCTCGCTCTCTCATTCATACAGTTGCAAACACACTCGTTTCTGTTCTGACCCGAGTGTCACTTTGATTGAACGCCTATTAGACTGTCCCACGATCCTTAAGGAGCCCTCGCTGCAGAGGAAGTGCTTATTGACCGCCTGAGCGTATCCTGCACTCACCTTACGCAGAATGACACTCCCTTTAAAACTTTAAGGTGATTCACACTGGACACTACTTGGTATTCTGGTCCAGTAACCTCGTGCGCACATACAGCAGATCTACGATCGAATTCAGATCATGTGTTTGCATAGTCAGCAACAACTGGGCCAGGACTGACCACACAGTCCACAGAAAGCACACAAACTTTTTGCCTTTTATGTAGTGTACACTACTGCGCATAAGTCAGAGATTACCCTGCATTTATTTATTTCTTTAATTTCCAGTCAAAACAACTGTTAAAATACAAGTTATTAATTTTTCAGGAGGTCTTTCTGAGAAGATTAGATATAAGATAATCCACTTGCGTAAGAAAGCTGAAAGTCAAAGTGTAAAAACAGAGGTTTTGGGCCTCCTAACAACCGCCTAGAAGACCTGGTCGACCCCAAAACTGCCCCCATCAGATAAACAGCACTTAAAGCTTTCATCTCTGAGAGAGAGGAGAAAATCAAGCTGCTTCAGATCTGAAAACCTCCACAGGTGTTTCTGTCCATCCTTCCACTGTGAGAAGACGACTCAGCGCTGTGGGCCTGAAAGGATGTGTAGCTGATCAAGAAGAACCTCACTGAGAAAAGGAGACGGACACATCAATCAAAGAAGCTGAACGATGGACTGACAACCCCAGAGTCCAGACCTCAACACCACTGAATGGGTTTGATTACTTCAGAAAATGATCAACCAGCTTCTAAGACTGAACTTTGGAGGTGTGTTCTTTGAGAAAGTAAGACTCCTGAAAAAAAGGAAAGCTGGAATGAAGGGAAATGTGGACACATTAAATTCTAAAAAAAGGTTGCGTTGTTGAGGCTTCTGGGTAATTTTCTGTTAATTATGTTCTCTGGTTTTTTTTTCTTGACGCTGAAAAATGAACAGCTTGTACTTAATGGTTGTTTTGACTGGAACTCAAATGAATTAAATACATCCTCTGACTCACACAGTACTGTAATTCGAACATGTAGCACCAAAAAGGATTCTACTATTGTTACAGCGTCAAATGTTCGAGCCATTTTCAAACATATACAACACATTATCTATCAATCTAAGGAAGTTCACCATGCAAAGAACCACTTAAGCCAGAAATGGTCCTATATAGACTTCAACCATTGCCTTTAAAACATGTCTTTTTGTGTACTTTGTGCATGATTTTTACTTTTATTTTTTAATTTTCACCCAATTTTTCTTGCATTTTCAGTCGTGGCCAATTCCATCTGCTTGCTGGGTACCATTACTTTCATATGCAAAGACCAGTTCTAAGCTGTTGTAACTATTTACACCAAAGCATTTAGTGTAATGTGGCAATCCTGGACTATCTGACCACTCACATGTAAAAAGACTTGCGTTTTTTTTTAATGCATGGCTTTTCATCATTGTTTGTCCATTTTGCTATGTTTGGCTAGAGGATCTATTTTGTAGCAGCCTTCAGCTCCACCGACAGAGTTACATGGATCCTCTTAAAGGGTGATTTTTTAAAAAGACTGGCATAATTAAACAGTCAAAATATAAACAAAGTCATTCAGAGTGGTCTGACATGCTTTAAAGCTTACATAGAATTGTTCACAGTGGTGGTGATAGGAACCAGACGTCCGAAGGGTTTAATGCCTTCAAAAGGTCGCTCACAGATTAAAGCAATTAAATGAAATGATTACGGACACTGTCAGATGCCTGTGACATTGTTTTCTGATAGTTTTAAGGTTAGATTTTGGCCTAAAGTGGAATTTTCACAGCTACATTCATGGTAGAGAGGTACATGCAGGGTGTTATAGGGCAAAATAGTCCCCAAAGAAAACTTATTATTTCAGATTTTCCACTATTTTACCATCATCAACATTCCATGTAAACTCAGAAGACTTGTGTAGCTTCACTGGTGGTTTTGGATAGTAAATAAAATGGCATTGTGTTGCAGTCATGGCAACCCCTGGTTCCCATCACCACCACTGTGGACCATTTCACACCAAACCTGAATTACTCTGTTTATATTTTATCTATTGAATTGTGCAGAAAATTTGGAAAATGTGTAGAATTTCTCTTTAACTGTGTTTTAAATAATCCTCTGAAATGGTTATTGACCAGAATTTTGATGACGTGCAATTTGGTACTTTCCCCCTCTGTTTAACATAAATGCACTCACCCACTACCTGCCATGGGATTACATGCTTTTTCATTTCCACTTGAAGTACTGCTGTGCCTCTCCGTTCAGTCTCACCCCTCCTCTCGTCCATTTTTCATGTCCCTCCTTCATTTCTCTCTCCGCCCTGAACCTGCACATTTCACTCAAACCGAAGTTTGTCTCATTTTGCCTCATGTAGTATTCATCTCACGAGTATGCTGGGTTCAGTCAATGAGCTTGACTGTATTTGTGCGTTTGTGTATGATGTGTACGTGTTTCAGGCCTCTGTTTGCTTATATTCTGCAATGCACTCTGTCATGTAATGCATTTCACATTAGTCCCCATAGAGGCCTTTCTCATCCAGTATTAGCTTCAGTATCACATGGCACTCAGACGAGACAGCGGCTGTTTAACCATTTAAGCGTGCACTAATTTCCCCGCAATGCACTGTGGCTACCCACAATCCCTCAGAGAGGAAGCTGCGGAGACGACTCAAAAAGATTGGCTTTGCTGGGATCGTCTGGCACTGTCTGACCAGTTAAAAACATGACTGTTACTAAAGGGATGGATCTTGGTGTCCCCTTTCAGTATCTGTTTTAAGAAGCTCCCATCCAAACACTATCCAGCTTTTATATGGCGACTTCATTACTGGGTGAGCATCCGGTTCTACTCGTTAGGTTAGCTTTCGCTTGGTGGTTAGCTTCTCCGACTTGAACAGAAAGGGATCGAACTCAGGTTTGTTTAAACCACGCTAGCGAGGATAAAGACCACCCCGTTTACACTGTAAGAGGAGAATGTTGACAAAATACATCAGCCATAAATTTTTCGAAAAGCACACTTTGTACATGCCCACAAAAGTCAGGTTAGCCTACGTAGAAAGAAAACATGAACTTAGATTTGTTGCACTGTAATATTTCAAAACTGTAACATTTTAATTGCTGGGCTTTATGTTGCTGTTATACATGACTGCTGATAAAACTTCATTACTTTACTCTGCTAGCTGGATAATTAGCATGCTAAAGGCTACACAGCCCACACATACAAAGGCACTACACCACGACTCTACACCATGTTTAAAATCAGACGAAGCAAGTTTCACTTTTAAATTTCTCTAAAAGTTTGCATGGCTATCTGATTAGCTCACTGAGGCTAACTGAAGACGAGTGCGCTCCCCACTGTCCCGAGTGGCCAGGTGTGACGCTCAATCGAGTAGTGACAGGGAATGGGCTGAGGGGCCTTTATTTCATTTATTTTTCATTATATATTCAAGGGCTTTGCTTTCATATAGTGGTCTGTCCCCAGCTGCCTCAGGCCTTGTGGTCAGAGGCCCCTGAGGTCCCTGGCAGTCTACTGGGCCCACTGGCCCAGTCAGTAATCCACCTCTGCATTACTGAAAAATCTGATAGATTTATTTTAGCTAATGGTAGCTTACCTTCCCTCTCCATAATAAGCTCCTCCTCTGGGGGTGTGGCTATAGAGGGCTGCTCAGTGGGAGGACATGAAGGGGGTGGGGTTTCAGCTGTGGCTGGTATAGCAGGTTCAGGCTGAGTTGTGGTGGCCATGGCTGCGACTGTGATTGGCTGAAGGTCTGTAAGGGGTAGTTCAGTGGGTGGGGCCTCCTCTGGGAGTTGTCGAGGGAATGAGGAGAGCAGTTAGTGCCTTAACCCTTTTAGTACTTCACTCTTGCTTTACCTCTAATGGCCACTGCTGTACTTATAAGCCCTAATGGCCACTGCTGTAGTTATAAGCTCCACTTACCTTGCTGGGTCAGTGCCACTGCTCGGTGGAGAGTAGAAACTGACCACTGATGAAGGGCTAGATATGGCTGTACAGCTTCATATGGCCCATTACATATTTACAATTCATCCTTAAATCTGGTCTGCAAATTATTTTAAATCTTTACATCTGATGGGTGGATTTGCTTTACCCACGAGACACTGTGTCTGGTTACCCAACAAAAGCTCTGTAAAATCAGCTTAGGGTGATGCTCATGATGTTAAAAGCAAAAATAAAGTGCTGCACATAAGAGGAACCATGCATGCCATGGACGCTGCATACTGACAGCAACTTAGCTACAACTAACTTACCTATTGTTTTAATTTAGACAGATAGTTAAATCTGCCTTCTTGCATTCATTCATGACAGGGCATCAGAATTAAGAAATTCAATTACAAACAAATCCACCCAGAACTCAGAATTAACTGCTTCCCAGTAACTTCACTCATGTCCTATATAATTATTATGTAAGTTTGCTTGATTGAAATGAACACTAAAAGGTGTTACATAGACCCTATGCAACACATTCTCCATCAATCTGAAGAAGCATTTCACCATGCAAAGAACCATTTAAGCATGAAATGACTACAAACCCATTTCCAAAAATGTTGAGACGCTGTGCAAAATGTAAATAAAAACAAAATGCAATGATGTGCAATTAATTCAAACCCTATATTTAATTGAAAATAGTACAAAGACAACAAATCAAATGTTGAAACTGAAAAATTATATTGTTTTTTGACAATTATATGCCCACTTAGAATTTGATGACAACAAGAAATTCCAAAAAAGTTGGGACGAGGCAACAAAAGGCTAGTAAAGTTGTGTAATGCTAAAAACACCTAGTGGTTAATTGGCAACAGGTCAGTAACATGATTGGGTATAAAAAGAGCATCTCAGAGAGTCTTTCAGAAGTAAAGATGAGGAGGGGTTCACCACTCTGGGAAAGACTGCATGAGCAAATAGTGCAATAATTCAAGAATAACATTTCTCAACATAAAATAGCAAAGAACTTTTGCTTTTCATCATCTACGGTACATAATATCATTAAAAGATTCAGAGAATCTGTATGTAAGGGACAAGGTCTAAAACAAGTATTTGTTGAGGGTGATCTTTGGGACCTCAGGTGTCTAAAACAGACATGATTCTGTAGTGGAAATCACTGCATGGGCTCAGAAACACTTCTGAAAAACACTGTCTATGAAAACAGTTCATCACTGCATCCACAAATGCAAGTTAAAACTCTAAAACACAAAGAAGAAATCATATATAAACAGGATCCAGAAATGCTGCCACCTTCTAGGGGTGCATTAGTGCACATGGCATGGGTGATGTGCACATCTGTGAAGGCACCATTAATGCTGAACGATATATATATGTTTGGGCAGCATATGCTGCCATCCAGGCGACGTCTTTTTCAGGGAAGGCCTTGATTATTTCAGCAAGACAACGTCAAACCACTTTCTGCATGTATTACAACAGCATTGCTCTGTATTAAAAGAGTCCTGGTGCTAAATTGACCTGCCTGCAGTCCAGATCTGTCACCCACTGAAACATCTGCCACATTATGGCATGAAAAATACGACACATGAGCCCCCGAACTGATGAGCAGCTGAAATCCTGTATCAAACAAGAACAAGAAAATGTTTCACTTTCAAACTTCCGCAGTGTCTCCTCAGTTCCCAAACGCTTACAGAGTGTTGTTAAAAGAGGTGATGAAACACAGTGGTAAACAGGCCCCCCGTCCCAACTTTTTTGGAACATGTTGTTGGCATCAAATTCAAAATGGTCAACAATAAAATTTTTCAGTTTCAACATCTGATATGTTGTCTTTGTAGTATTTTCCTTTTAAAATATGGTTTACATGATTTGCACATCATTGCATTCTATTTTTATTTACATTTTACAGAGCGTCCCAACTTTTTTGGAAATGGGGTTGTATACAGAACTCATAGTTCTAAATAAAACCATTGCCTTTCCTAAAGAACCCCTTACTAAATAGCCATCAAGTGTGTAAATTATGATCCTTTAACTCTAGAACACTACTGTAACTACCGCACTATCGTCTATTCTCTACATTCTTCACTACAACTAATTTAATTACATTTTTCATAAGCACCATTTTATTCTATGAAGGTTAGCTATGGTGTCTGATGTCTGCTTTCCAAAAGCTCTGGAGCTCTGAGCACAGTTGGTGTTAGCATGTTAGTATCTTTAATTTTAAACTTCCAAACATCCAAATCCATTCTTTAAGAGGATTCCTACATTTGTAGTTAATTATTAGTATCATTTCATACTAATTCTTTGTGCTTTTCTAATTTCTACGGTTCCACTACGGCTCTACAGTGGTCTTACTGTCTGACCTGGCTCACTGAGTCCTGTGCTGAAACCCGGAGTCGTAGAATCAGTTGCTGCGTTCAGAGAAAAGAGACAGCAGTGTTTCAGTACAGCTTATAAAATACAACAGCGCCACCTACAGGCATAAAAACCATAGATATGTGTTAGGACTGAATGGTAATAACACATTAACATGCTAAATTGTTAATGTGTAATACACATGTTTTTTTAACATTGCTAACCAAGATGTGAAATACAGGGGGTCCTGGGGGCCTGGGACCCCCTTTATTAACCTCTTGGAACCCCCTGAATGTCTCAAAATCAAAATTCTGGGGGTCCCTGAAATAAACTCATCATGACGTTATGCTGTCCATTGGGGAACAATAGATGCTCAACTGCAAACTCAGTGTAATCTTATTGTTTAGCTGCTTCACCCACAACAAGAGTTTTTGTCTTTGGTATTTTTAACTAACTAGAGCTGCAGCACTGCTCTGCCTCAGGGTGGCGCTGTAGCAAACTGGTTCACCCAGTTGGTGCTTCATAGCCTAGCAACCGCAACGTATGCATGGGTTACCTCAGAAAAACTTTACAATATGACACAACATATCTGTAACTCTGAAAACACATCCAGTTTTCAAAGAGTCTGGCGGAAACCGTGAATTGTGACTCATTTCTCACACTGAAGACAGAAGAGGTGATGAGGAAGATCTCAGTTAATGTGAGGAAGAGCGCAGAACCAAACTAGCACAGAGCTTTTACAGGAGAAGAACTGATAAAACAAACCATTTTGTTGCCGTTGAAGCATCAGCGCCACCATGGCGAGTGAGATAGCAGCCAGCCAACATGGGACGCCCCCCAATACCAGAGGGTACTTCACACACTGCCATTAATGCATTTTTGCATTTTGACTTGTCAACCATTCAGAGGCTGTTTTCCTGAATCGTTGACCAATCAGAGGCTGTGTTTCCGAATCATCAACCAATAATATGCTGTGTTTTTGACTCTTCAACCGATCATAGGCTGTGTTTCTGACTTGTTGACCAATCAGAGGCTGTGTTCCTGACTCTCTGACCAATCAGAGGCTGTTTTTCGGACTCATCGACCATTCAGAGGCTGTTTTCCTGAATATTCAACCAATCAGAGGCTGTGTTTTCGACTCATCAACCAATAATATGCTATGTTTCTGACTTGTTGACCGATCAGAGGCTGTGAGATTTTTTAAAATAAGACATTTTCGTTACTTTTGTATGTATTTATGTTTATTTGCATCTACTTTACTTGTAAACCGTGTTTTTACACCTTAACAAGATTTTACTGCAACTGATTTTCAATCATTTCTGAAATCTAACACTGCAAAAGGCAGCTGGAGTTTTCAAATGGGCTAAAAATGGAGTTTTGAGGTTGTGATATGATAGCAGTGATATCTGCACACAAAGTAACTCCACTACTCTTTCCCTCCCGTACACCACAGAGGTCTACACGCCAGCCTTGTCCTGACCAGTGAGTGACCTAGTGCGGTGGCACTGAGAGAGTGATACAGTTTGAGATTACAGTGAGAGTGAGCGTGTGTGTGTGTGTTCAGACAGGGATTACAAGGTCAATGTGTGTGTGTGTGTCTGAGCTTGTGGGAGCTGGTTGGTCGGCTGGGCAGATGGCTGGGGGGGTGATAAAGAAACTGACCTGATAATCCACGTCTGATTTATAACATATCACACACACTATTATACACACCATCGCCTGTGTTACAACTGCCCCCCCTCCCAAAACACCTACTTTCTCACCTCCGGAACAGACACACACACATCACAGTACTGTAAGTAATAAAAGGTTTGGAAAAGTGTGTGTGTGTGTGTTTGGTGAAGGATAGTGTGTAGACCTTTAGACCACATGGGAAGAAGAACAGAATGATTTATGAGTTTGGCTTCACAGAACTGTGTGCCACAGATACACACACACACACACACACACACACACACACACACACACACACACTGCATGCTCTGAAACTCTCCGATCAGTGTAAATAAAGCACTCTATTTCATGTTTACAGGACAGGGGGATAAGCGATTAGAAAAATCAATAAATTGGGACAAAGTTATCAGCAAACACTGATATTTGTATTATTTAAAACTAGGCTGTGTGATTAGAAAAGCAAAAAAAATGTTATTAAAATGTGACACAGAAATCTAACCTCTCCTTAAAGTATATATATATATATATATATATATCTATATATAAATCCTAAGGTTGAATCTCAAACGGCTCACTGCACCCTAGGCTGAATCTCAAACGACTCACTGCACCCTACATAGTGCACTATGTGAGTTATGAAATTTTGGCTTTTCCACCCAAACATTGCACTTTATGTCCAGTATGAATTGTGCTCACATGGCTGAATCCACAGTGTTTCTCTGTTAGACTCACTGAGCTCTCTTTAGATGCAGTAGCCATTATTTTAAGACCTACGTGCTGCACTTTGTAGGGAGAAGGGAGCTGTTTGAGATTTAA